ATGCGGGGCTCGATCCCAGGACCCTGGGATCATGACCTGAGCTGAAGGCAGACACTTAACGACTGAGCCACCCAGGTGCCCCAAGCAGTTACTATATTTCTGAGAGTTTCTTTAGCCTAACTGGCCAATACCACAGACTAGTAAATGGCAGAGCTAGAACACTTAACCATTATTTTGCTATACCATCTTATGTTAAGAGAAGGACATACCATTAAATATCAAGATTGTCTTGCCATTATTATAGTGATTAAGAACATTTTCTAGACTCAATCTCCCTAGGTTTAACTCTGCCACTGGTTTGCCTGGACATGTAATATCACTTCCTCACCTGTACAGGGGCATAATAATCAACCTCTCTAAAGGTTGCTAGAAGATTCAAAGAGATGATGCATTATAAGCTCTTGGCATACGTACACTTATCAGGCACCATCCCAAGCACTCAAAAGTTAGCTCTTCCCATAATCCACTTTGGAGAGATTTTAATCTTACAGAATTATGTATCCTCTAGAACGTGTTTCACAGAAGAATGAACTTGTTCAAGAAAAAATCTGACACATCAATATTACCCCAAAACTATAGAAATGATAACCTTATCATCCTCCATGTGCATCTTCTCCTTGGGAATCTTCTTAGAAGATACTGAAGAACTTCCCTCATTTATAGAAAACACTTCACATATACCAGGATCCTATGCCAGTATTATGACTACCACTACAGAGGTTAGAATGAATGATTATAGACAAAAGGTAGGATTCAAAAAATCCTGAGCAGCAAGACAAAGCAGGCTCTACTTTCAGCCAAGTACAAGGGAATGCTTGGTGTGACTGGGGGCACGTCCACTAGACAGCCTAAAATCCTTGGTCACTGAAGCCAGAGCTCAATCCTAGTTCTTGGCAATGCAAGCTTACTTAGGCTCAGTTTCTTTTTCCTTTTTTTAAAAAAAATTTTCTTCATAATCTCTCCACCCAACGTGGGGCTCAAACTCACAACCTGAGATCAAGAGTCTCACGGTCTTCTGACTGAGCCAGCCAGGCACCCCTTGGCTGCTTCTATATTGTAAATATATAGACAGCCTCCAGTTGTCCCCATGATTAAAAATCTGATCACCTGATTTTCTGTAACTGAAAACTTAAGTCATGGGAATCTAGGGATTGTCTAAGCAAATGCAATCACAGATGCATTTTAGCCACTCTCCGTAATAGCGGAAGCATCTGGAGATTGAGGCGCAAATAATTTACATTCAATGACATCACATGAAAGAGGCAGCTGTGCTAACAGGGATAACACACAGGACGTATATAACCTGTGTCGGTCATTGGGGTTTTCATTTCCTGCACAGATGGTGAAAATGATTAAACACTGCCCAGCCTTGAGAAAACACCTGGTATTTAAGGACATCTTTTTGAAACAAACTGGTCAGAAACAAAAATCAAGACCTTTTCCTGCAAAACCAAAGCAAGATTTCTATTAAATGCAGAGGGTTGTCCATTAAACAATCAGGTGACGAATGTCTGCACACCATTTCCCTAGGCCTTGTAACATCAATCTGTGTGTGCTTCCTTGCTTCTACTAGGTATACCCTGGAGCAGACACAGCAGGACAGAACTGTAGACAAAAGGTAATGCTGCGTACTCCAGGAATATTTTATGGCATCAGTTAAATTCTAATATCCTAAGAATGAAATCTTTACTTCGTGACTTCTCAAATTCATTAAAGGACAGGAAAACTGGCTTGTTTACCTACTCATCAGTTGTTGAAAGACAACACCCTGGTCTTGCTGGAGCTGTAGTCTAAATGCATCCAATTCATATCAAAACTGACACTGGCAGAGTATCTGGACCAAATGGATATACACAAAGCTGTATTTTCTCAAGGAGTTTAATGTTACACTGACTGAACCATGCTTTGTTGTGGGTTATTTCAATGAAATCTAAACGACACTTTAGGGCGCCTGGGTGGGTCAGTCGGTTAAGAATCTGCCTTCAGCTCAGGTCATGATCCTGGGGTCCTGGGATCGAGTCCCACATCGGGCTCCCTGCTCAGCGGGAAGCCTGCTTCTCCCTCTCCCACCCCCGCTGCTTGTGTTCCCTCTCTAATAAATAAATAAAATCTTTAAATAAATGGCACTTTAGGTATTCTATGAAAACACTGTAAAACCACTGGTCAAGTAGGAAGAACACTGAAGCTGGTTAAGTTCGATTGCAATACGAAATTGTCACTATCTACTTAGGCTTTATTTTCCAAATCTGTAAAATAAAGAAATTAGATAGCTTTTAGGTGATTTCCAAATTTTGGTGAAAAACAATGTCCTGAGTTTTCTGTAATTGCAACCCAAACTTAACTCCACCTGCCCACAAATCAGGGACCCACATCCAGCCAAGGTTGTAAATATGCAGGCAATACTGCCACCCAGTGACCTGTCAACTCTTAAATGAACATATAACTGATTATGGAATTTCCCTTTTATGTTCTTAAGAGGTCCTAAACCTTTAAAAAAAAATACTGTGAACTCTATATACCATTTCCAACTCTATAAACATTCTTGAAGACTGTCACTACTGTCATCTGAACAGTGGCAATCCATCACCACTGCCAAATAATGCTGTTGACTGACAGCAGCAAATTGAGTGGTAAGCATTCTGTGGGTTTTAGAACAGCAAAACAGTCTGCCTGTTTTGGAAACAGTGAATTCATTTACACAGCTTAACTTTAACCCAACATAATCATCTCCTCAAGATAAATTTAAGTCCCTCACTGATATGAATGCTTTTTTTTTAAGATTTATTTGAGAATGAAGAGAAAGAGAGCATGGGGGTGGAGGGTGAGAGAGATGCAGACTCCCCACCAAGCAGGGAGCCCGATGTGGGACTCGATCCCGGGACTCCAGGATCACGACCTGAGCTGAATGCAGTCGCTTAACAAACTGAGCCACCCAGGCACCCGAATGCTGCTTTTTCTAAGATTTTTTATTTTTTGAGAGAGGGGCAGAGAGAGAAGCAGACTCCTCAATGAGCCGGGAAGCCCTATGCAACGCGGGGTTTGATCCCTGGACTCCAGGATCATGACCTGAGCCAAAGGCAGATGCTCAACCGACTAAGCCATCCAGGCACCCATGGATGCTGCTTTAAATACAATTTAGAGGGGCGTCCAGGTGGCTCAGTTGTTGGGCATCTGCCTTCGGCTCAGGTCATGATCCCAGGGTCCTGGGATCGAGCCCCGCATTGGGCTCCCTGCTCCGCGGGAAGCCTCCTTCTCCCTCTCACACTCCCCCTGCTTTTGTTCCCTCTCTCTCTGTCTCTGTCAAATAAAATCTTAAAAATAAATAAATACAATTTAGAGGAAAGCAGAGGTAGCTGATTTTACTCATGTGAGGAATACAAATACCCCAAGAAGTCAAAACACTTAAGAAATTTTATTGAAAACAATAAAATACAGAAACATCAGATTCTCATTTTAAAGTAAAATTGACAGCATCTTCCAGAACCTTCCTAGTACTGCACCATTCTTGTCACTATTAAAGTTTCAAATCCAAAATAATTAATGAACCTGCTTATAATAAGCATTCTTCTCATGGTTCTAGCCCCTATTTTCCTAAATTTTACATTTGCACCGTTTCAAAGATGAGTAGCAGGTTTTGTTTTTGTTTCTGCTTTTTTTATGACTGATTAATATTTGTGAGAACTGGACTTTATATTAAAAAAAACCCACACACATCTTACTCAAACTCAGAGAAAATATACATTTGTTCAATAAAGCTCACCTGCTTTAGATAATTTTTCTCTTCACACATTAGCATAGTAAGCCAATGTTTGATCCATGCTTCAAAAGCTGTACAAAATGAAAAGACCTACTGATTCCCTAAGGAAACCTAAGGCAAAAGCAAAAGCCTTACACTACAGAGAAAAACAAAGCAGAGGCATGGAGACTGTGGGGATGGCTCAGATGAATAAGCACCACAAGGATGAAGAAAATTTCTGTACAAACATATGCAAAAAAGATAAAGTTTAGAAAGGAGCTTTAAACATCCATTTTCCTGCAGAAATAATTAATCATGTCAGATAATCTGACTCCTGAAACAAGTTGTTTGGATTTTAATTAACAGACTCTTCATTCTCTCCTATATTTTACCAGTGGTATCAGAGCCCTGTTTTGGAGCTCTTCCTCCTTTTCCTCATACAGACCTTTGATCAGAAGCCTGGCCCACAATTCCTACCGAAGACAATCTTAGTGTGTTTTGGGTCCTTTGGAAAGTTGTCACCTCCCCTTCCGCCCTAACACTGGGACTAACTCTAAATTCTGGGCGTTCACTTCATGTTTTTGAGTTATACCAGAACAAACTTTCTTTAGCACGGCGATTTCTTTAAGGCTACAAACTTTGTAAGTTGGTCCCATTAAATAATGACCTAAAGGCAGGAGTTCTTCAAATGGCATGAATCAAACACTTGCACATTTCAACAGAATACAGTTTACATTCATCTCTAAATCTGAGATTAAGAAACTATTAGCTGGTTTCCAACTGGTTTTAATACTGGTTTGAAGTTTGAATAATTTTACTGTGTAGATATTAAATATTGTTTAAATATTAAACATTACATTTTTTCCTGACTATCCAGACAGAAATAGAGAAAGCAGGAACAACAGGCAAGGGAAGAAACAGTCCAATTAACAGACTTGTTACTTCTACGCCATCTGTAACAAGGGGAGGGATTTCAGCATGGGTTTCGAAAATGCCTGGGAGCTGGTTTCTAAAAAGTCACCTCTACTTGGCATAAGCCATTTTTTTTTTCCTACACAAAGTATCTGGTTCCTACAAAGGGGGAAGAAACCCAGAAAACAAAACAAAAAGAACTGGGGTGGTCTCCTGTTGTGTGATGTAAGGGCCAGTATTACACTATTATACTCATTTAATAAGTTATAGTGGATATTCAGTAGCACTAAAGGAAGTGTTATTTTACTCGGCACTACTGAGTCCTTGCCACACAGAAGAGCCCTTCCTGAGAAATAAAAAACTTCAATCCTGGTTATCCCCAAAGGGCATCTTGAGCCTGGTTTAGTTCCTCAAGATGAAGATGTCCTGCTAGCAGGAAGCTATTCTCTACTAACTCTGAGGTTTACTGCGCAACAGCTAAAGCACCAGGCAAAGTGGCTAGTTCAGTAACTCTCAGTGTCACTTACCCATATGTTTTCAGTTAATTATTGTCATTGTTTTCTACATTAACACTAAAAATACTCAACTTGCTAATATAGGTACAACCTTTTTAAAAAAATACCTATCAATGCTGGGCTTCGCAGACTTGGCAGTTCTTGGGATTACTTAAGGGAGGCTTCTCCCATAGCCAATTTGCACATGGGTTACCTCACAATTACTTTTTAACAATCGCTCAAAGTTAATTAATTTGTAAACATTCCTGAATAACTGGGCTTATCAATTATGCTAGGGAAACCAAGGAGCAACAGTAGCACAAGGCAAAAAAGCCTTGAAGGAAAAACCTTTTCTTTGTATTTTCATTGCATTTTCAGAGGCTAAGAAGTGAGCCACAACGCTACCAGCTATTTAATCAATGCAGCTACACAGATTTGACAATATACAAGCTTCAGAGCCTCTGTTAAATCTTAGCAATAGTCTACGCTACTGCTTTCCTCCCTCCTCTTCCCAATCATATGTAGTCACCACTGTAAACGAGTTCCGATCTATAGACGCAGTTCTGACTTGGCTGTCAGGATAGTGTCATAGTAGGAGCATCCTTCTTTCTTAATGCATTGTTTCAAATTCAAGTGTCTGAATATTCGCCAACTATCTGAATGGTTTAGACAATGTGACAGATGACTTAAGTCACCCTTAGACACACAGCTTCCATACTTGCCTTTGCGGGCTGTAATTTCCATTTCCTTAATAAGCCCCGTGGAAAACTGTTTACCTTTGAGACAAGCTTCCTTGGCAAAAAGTTGGATTCACGAAATGGCTACCCAAAATGAGAGTCCCACCCCAAATCACAGGTGGAGATATTATTACACCCGTTTCATAAAACTTTCAAGTCCCTATTCTATACAAATACAAGTAGGCTCACGACTAAACACATGAGCCTTCTAAAATTTGACAACTTTTAGCACAGAAACTGGTTTCTAGAGTTCCATCTCTTCTTCTGTGCAAGCAGCTGTCTCCAAACTATTGTAAACAGGCATCCCTGTTTGCCGAGGTTCCAAGAACAGTTCAGTTCTCCCAGGAAAGGCAGTGCCAGCAGCGGCATGCTTAGTTTGGCTCTCTCCTGTGTAGTTCTTAGCATTAGATGACGGCTTTGGCTTATCAGAAAGGAGTTCAGGGAGAGGTTTCCAGAGCACGAGCTCCATGGAAGGACGGCTCCTAAGACATAAAATACAGATTTTTTATAAAAAATTTTAGGATATGGAAAAAGATACATGTCGAAAAGCTAACGTTTGCTACCAAATACCTAGAATTAAGAACTGATGGCATCAAAACAGGAGATTTATGTGATCTAAATAGATCTTTAGAAAGGCCACTCAAATACATACAATTTCACAGTTCTACCCATATTTTGAGATTGAGAGAGAACACGCATGCGCACACATGAGGGGAGGGGGAAGAGCAGAGGGAAAGAGAGCAAGAATCCCAAGCAGACTCCCCAGTGAGCATGGAGCAGGCCACAAGGCTCGATCCCAGGACCCTGAAATCATGACCAGAGCTGAAATCAAGAGTCGGATGCTTAACAGACTGAGCCATTCAGGTGCCCCTGTTCTGCACATAGATTTTAACCAAACCAACTAGTTGTACTGATGCTGTGGTTAAAAGTAATACAGGAGGGCCTGACTGGCTCAGTCAGTAGAGCACGCAACTCTTCATCTTGGGGTTCTAAGTTCGAGCCCCATGTTGGGTGTAGAGATTACTCAAGATCTTTAAAATAAAAGCAATTAAAAACATCCAATGTAAAAAATAGAGGCCCCTGATTTAGTGTTATAAATTCCTTAAATTGTGGTTAATATTAGTAGGTATGGGCTACTACCTTGTACTAAACCTTTATAAATGAAAATGAAATACTGACCAAATACATTACAAGTGTCTCCGTATGCCTTCTGCTTAGTACAGCTACAAAGCAGAATGCTTTTTGCAGTCAAGTCCAAAAGATTAGGGCCCCAATGCATGCCTGCCCTCAGTCCTCCTCCATCCAATGGTGGCTTGATAGTTTCTGGGACCCAAAGGCAAGTTAGACAAAATAAACCACAATGAAGAGTACCCCCAAATGCTGGCTTCTGAAAAACTACCAAGAGCAGAAAGTGCGGGGCACCTGGGTGGCTCAGTTGTTAAAGTGTCTGCCTTCGGCTTGGGTCGTGATCCCAGGGTCCTGGGACCGAGCCCCGCGTCAGGCTCCCTGCTCTGCAAGAGGCCTGCTTCTCCCTCTCCCACTCTCCCTGCTTGTGTTCCCTCTCTTGCTGTCTCTCTGTCAAATAAATAAACAAAATCTTTAAAAAAAAAAAAAAAGCAGAAAGTGCTATTTTTTAGGCTGTAGGACAACATGGCCTGCTTACTCTTGGCTAAACTATTTACCCACCCTCAGAGCTAGGTAGTTAATTATAAGCCCAAGCTAGGGGGCTAATGCAAAACTTCTGTGATCTACCATCAGCTGAACCCACTGTGGCCAAAGGCAGTAATTCTTCATCCACCTGGCATCACTGGGGCTGGTCTTCTCAGAGATTTTTTCAGATACCTGACACCTACCCTCACTGAGTATCCAATCTACCTATATAGTCTGTTCTAGGTAAGACCTAAATAGCACTTTATAACCTGACTACTATTTTACACATGGATAATGACTGCTTCAGATCATGTGAGCTCAAGGACTGTAAGAATTACAGGGCTCTCATTAGTTCTTGTGTTAATAGCCCCAGGCTGCTGCGTTTTTTAGGCTGTTTGCTTTCTAGTTTCCTCTCGTCCTCACACACTATACCGTCACACTCACTACTGTGAGTTTGTTCTCACTTGCTGTTCCTGTGTTTCTACTCCGATGATCTAGGAAACCAGGTAACTGAGCTCATTAAACTAGGGTTAACTTAAGACCAAAATGGCTTAGAGCTAAAGCCCTAAGGGGCTATCCACTATGAGATAAGAGTGTAGCCTTTGTGTTAACTATTTTGACTACTGGGAGATTTCTTTTGGTTTGTTTTCTAGGTCTCAGTGGTGTTCCTGGATAACTGACAGGCCAGTAAACGAGAGCTTTTGAAATGTGGTTCCTATATCCTATGACAAGAATTTGGGAGAAAGGGCTCTCTTGCCAATCCTCCCAACCCCAATTATTAGACAATAGTGCATTTCAGGACTTCCAAAGAATTGGGGGTTAAGAAGGTAAGGCAGCCACTCCTGCATACTTCAAACTTCTTGCACAGCATTTTGCTCAATCCCAGTGAACTAGGATAAAGGTCTGTATCCAACCTGAACTAAATACAAAACCCACTGTGCTTTCATTTCGCTGGTGATCAGGGGATAGAGAGATGACTAGCATAGGACGGGCTGTGTCTGGAGACACTGGGTTTCTCAGTTGGTTAATCACCCAACTCTTGATTTCGGCTCAGGTCATTATCTCAGGTCCTGGGATCGAGCCCCACATCAGGCTCTGTGCTCAGCACAGAGTCTGCTTGTCCGTCTCCCTCTGTTCCCCCCACCTGCTGCCCACCCGTGCGCTGTCTCCAAAAAATAAATTTTTAAAAATAAATAAATGGAAACCAGGAACCAACACTTACATGGACTCAATCATTTTCTTTGTAAAGACTTCATCAAATTCCCTCTTCAAACCTGTTTTCATGGTATCAGAAAGAACAAGACTGGGGAGATGGTTAATATTTCTGTCAGCTTCCACTTCTTCATCTTCATCAATTATCCTAAATAAAGACAGCAGAAGCAGAGAAAGAAAAGTTAGTCAAGCTATTATTTATTCTAGTAATTGGACAAAATTTAAAAACAAAATAAAAGCAGCAGGTGCTACAGGGAAAGATCAAGTCAAATATGAGGTTCTGAGTGAAAAAAGTACACACAGAAGAGTTACTCAACGTTTCAGTCAACAGATGCAATCATATTTGAAGAATGTGTCCCTGAAAACTCCCATAAACCAAAAAATTAATATTCACAGACAGTAGGTGAAAATATTTAGCACAGGTCTATGAGAAGAGTTTGACATTTAATGTGTCAACTTTGAGTTCTCGTATTTTTCATAGACTGAGAGGTTGAAGATCACTGTTATTACCAAATGATGAATTAGACTAGCTTAAAAGAGTAGAGATGTCACATGGAATCCGCAATAAGCCAACGATATATAATACGCATTTACCTGTCCTCGATTTCTTGAAGCCTCCTTCGGGCAACTTCACACTGTGGTTCTCCGGTTGTCTGATCCATTTCTTCACAAATAACATCTAACATGCCAGGTGCAGAGAGGCCACTAGTGCACGGATTTACTCCATGACTCTCTATAGCCTGATGTGCACAAAGAATCCAGTCATTAGGACCAGCACAGAGCCCTGCTTCAGTTAGCCTTTTCTTTCTTACCGGACAACTGGAAAAAAAAATTCAATGAAAATTCAGTCATATAAATGAAATGTTTATCATCCCTTTCTCTAACCAAACTCTCATGTAAAAAAATAAAACAAAAAACCTCTGATTTTTGACAGTGTGTGACTACAAGATGGAAAATCATGCTTTTCTTTTGTCATTCTGAGAGCTTCCTTGAGATGTTTTCTTCTACTGCTCTCTATCAAATTAGACTGCACCTGCAAGATTGTGCCTTTTCAGATTAGTGTTCAGCGTGGGAACTTCAAGTCATTCCTATTTATTTGGCTCTGGATAGGTCAAGTGGAAAGTAAAGAAACCAAAACCACAAGCAGCAGTTCAGCACCAGCCATATTTTGTCCTAATTCTGCTTGCTCCATATGGGGAGGTGGTCGACAGGCATCTTCCCTTAGGGCAAAAGATAAATGCTTCATCAGGTCTGTTCCAAGTACTACAGGTTGCAGAGGATACTGCTTATTTCTTGGTCCTCTCTGAAATGTCAGAAGACTGTCATTTGGCTCTGAGTCCCTTACTAATAAGGGTGTACATTTTTCTCCCACCTTGTAACATAAACCATTTTCACTTCCTAGAAAAATTTATATTACATAGAGCTCTTCGAGTTCATCAATTTTTTTGTTTTGCAGATTTGGAACCTAAGACCTAGAAAAGCTAAAGTGCCTCCTCCTAAGTGTCACATAAGGTAGAGCTGCACATTAGGTACCAGAAGCCAGAGCTCCAAAGTCCTAGCTCTACGTCATTTTCACTGAAACTTATGGCCTTCTTAGGGAAGTTCAACCATTCAAGCTCTTACCATGAACTAGTATTTGCATACACTGCAATGTGCCCAGTTTAGTTGAAAACTGTCTGAAGCTGGTCCTATTCTATTTAAGTACTTAGACCAGATGTACTCTATTGCTTGGGCATCAGCAAGTGTAACCTCAAAAACAAACACAGCTCTGCAACTTAAAAAAAAAGTCAAAAAAAATCATTAATGGCTACCACAGCTTACGAGTCTCTAAACTGAAGGTCAAAGGAAGTGGTATTTTATAAACAGAAATTTCTATTCATGTTAAGACTACAAAAAAAAAAATTACAAAAAAAATCAACAGTAAAGTCTCTGGCAATATAAAATCTGACAAATAATGATGCTCTCCTGAACCTAGACTCTTACTGGAATCGACAAATAATTTTTTAAAATCTTTAATTTTTTGAGGTCTTGAGTTTTTTTTTTAAGATTTTATTTATTTGAGAGAGACAGAGAGAGAGCGAGAGAGCACAGGCACACGAGAGGGAGAAGCAGACTCCCCAGTGAGCAGGAAGCCCAGTGTGGGACTCAATCCCAGGACCCTGGAATCATGACCTGAGCTGAAGGCAGATGCTTAACTGACTAAGCCACCCAGGCAGCCCTCTCTGAGTGTAGTTGACATGCAGCGTTACATTAGTTTCAGGTGTACAACACAGTGATTCTACAACGCTCCATCTTATGCTATACAACTGTAGCTATAATCTAAATATATGGAACCCCTCACAAATTTGCATATTATCCTTGCACAGGGCCCATGCTAATCTTCTGTGTATCAGTCCAATTTTAGCCTATGTGCTGCCAGAGTAAGCACAAGAATGTTTAGTTTATAACTGGTTTTAATTGATAAGAAAATATTAAGAAGGTCCAGCTATACATCACATATTTCTGTAATATTTGGATAGTTTTATGGTGTGGTGTTTTGGAAAGCAGGAGAAAAACTATATACATAAAACCAGCTAAGAAAAAGCAGAATAAATCTAGAGGGAACAGGTAATTTCCTAGCACATCCAATAATTCAACTATGAAATGCAACTGAGTGTAAGAGCTGGGTTCTGATCTCTGACCTCCAACATGATTTGGCCTATATTATTTCACGCCTGTAGGTCCATTTTGCAAATAATTAGAGATCAACGATAATTAAGTTTCCAAGAAAATATGATATAAAAGACTTCAAAGTATAGATAAGAGCTATGAAGTGGCAGGTGGGCAGCACACTTCTCGGCATTAGATATTCAAATGTCAAGTTCCTCATTCTCAGGGCCTCAATTTCTCCTTTAATCTAAATTAAAGGCAGCTAGCCTTTTTTTTTTTTTTTTTCCAGTAAGCTCTACACCCAGTGTGGGGCTTGAATTCACAACTGCCCCCACCCCAGATCAAGGATCCCATGCTCTACAGACTGAGCCAGCCAAGGACCCCAAAGGCGGTTAAATTTTTAAGCCAACAGATTTTACGCTTCAAACTTTTCACACTGGAACTCTTTATTCAATTATCTCTCTCATTTTTTTTAAATTAATTCATTTTGGGAAGAGAGAGAGCAAGCAAGCGGGGGGGGGGCAGAGGGAGTGAAGCTGACTCTCCTCTGCATGTGGAGACGCTGGACTCGATCTCATGACCCTGAGATAAGGACCTGAGCCAAAACCAGCAGTCACACGCTCAACAGACTGAGCCACCCAGGCATCCCTATTCAATTATCTCTTACAGCGTACTCCAAAAGACAAAAGCAAAGAGATCCGTATCTGCAACAATCCCAAGGCAATAACGAATATAAACATTGTCTGGTCTGGTGGTTTTTAAGGTAAGGCAACTTTCAAAGCTATTTAGCATATGCATCAGCAAGGTTAGAAAATCCAGTTTCTGCTGGCCAAAAAACAAACAAGTAAAACATATACAAAGTTAAAAGACGAAATGACAAATTTGGGGAAACATAACACCCATAATAAAAGTACTGATTTCTTTAAGTAAAGATTTCTTATAGATGAACGTGAGATCAATAAGCCAAAAGAAAATGTGCAGAAACAGGAACAAGTCACACAAACACAAATGGATTAAATGGAAAGATGTTCAAATTAACTTTAATTTACAAAATATAAAACAGTGGTCTTAAAAACCAAAAATGATCTAATTTTAACTATAAGATCCTATGTTCATACAATTCAATGAATAATTAGAAAACAAGCATCCATTAAAATAACATTCAAGATGCAGACCACTGTCAACATCCCAAAATCGTACTCTATTTCCTTCTTCCTACAGGTAAACACTATGTTATAGTACTGTATATATTCTTGGGATGTTTCTTTTGCTCATATTATTCTCGAGACATAGCCATGTTGATAGATGTCCTACATTCCTTTTTCCCCTTTTTGCTGAATAGAACCCCACTGTATGAATTTGTAATTTACTTTATCCATTTTATTACCGAGGGACATACAGGTTGTTTCTAGTTTTGAGCTATTATGAACAAGGATGCTCTGAACTTTCTTGTATGCGTCTCTTGTTGCAAGCATGTACACACTCAAGAGGGGAACTGTTGGGTAATAGGGTATGTCTTTAACTTACTACATAACGCCAAACTATTTCCCAAAGTGCTTGTACCGATTTACATTCTCATCCACAGTATTGCAGTTACTGATGCTCCAGTACCTGGTGGTAAAGTAACATATCTCACTGAGGCTTTACTAGGCATTTCCCTGAAGACTGATAAGGTCGAATGAACCCCTTTCATTTGTTGGTCATCTGGATATCCTCTCTTTGGGATGCTCTCACTCATTTTTCTATTAGACTGTCTGTCTATGAGATATAATATTTAAACCTATGAGTGAAGTGAAAAAGTTTGAAACTACAGTTCTGGTGAGAAGACGGAGAAATAGGCATTCCCACTGTTAAAAGAAATATAAATTGGCAACAGCTCTTCAAAATTTAAAATGCATGCAATTCACCATCTAGGAATCCATTAACCTACTTGCAAATATATACAAGGAACTTTGAAAAGAACAGACATGGTAGATTTAATCCACAGTAAAAGCAAAAGACTAGACCTAACTTAGAAATCGGTCAACAGGAGACTGGTTAATGATCTATACCTAGGCCTTACAATACTATTCTACTCAATGTTGCAGAAGAAATTAGGTAAAACCCTATGTGCCCATACACAACAAGCTACCGGAGAATAAAATGAAAATATCAATGTGTTGCACAATGTGAGGAGTTACCTTCTTATATGATATAGAAAACCAGAGGCATATACAGTTATAAAGTTTTTAGATTATCTTCCAAAGGAGAAACAGTAAACAGGTAACAGGGAGAAAAGGGGAGTATGCACTCTTAAGACTGTACAATGTGTATCCTTTCCCACACTCGAAAACCTTTTACTTTGTACATGTAATAATATTCACACGGATGAAAATTCAAACGTTACTAAGGATGAGAGAAAAGTTTCCCTCTGACATGCCAGCTACCCAGTTACTTTCCCTAATAGGCAACCACCGTTACCAGTTCCTTGTGCCTCCTTGCAGAGATAATGTTTCACCTTTTCACTTAAAATAAGTAGTCGAGGATAGGAAACAGGTTAAGCGACCATAAAGTGAATAAATGGCACCTGAAACTTACTCATCATCCTCCTCCTCTCGCTTGTGTTTCTTTTTACAGCGAACTGAAACACTGTTGGGAAAAAAAATCAGTCAATTGAGAAATTCACTGAGGCTGTGCTTTCAGCATCCACTCTCCCTTTCCCAATAATCTCGCCCATCCCACGAGCACCGGCTGTCCCTTTCCTTGCCGCCTAGGACTGGATATACAGATCACAAGGCCGCTCAGGTTGGGTGGTCCCGACAGAACTAGAAGTTGAAATCTCAACTTACTTTGTCAAGGGAGTGGGAAATAAATTTGGGGGGACCGACGTAGGGAAAACGTATCTGGGGCAGGCACTGTGCTAAGCACTTTACTTCCACGATCTCACCAGCAGGACTCATTTCTGTCCCACTTTGCGGATGAGAAACCGAGTGTCCGCGAGGCACCGAAGTTAGCACCGGCGGCCGCGCCGAGGGGACGGCCAGGCTCCGATCGGCCTGGGTTCCAATCCCGGCCCGACCTGGGAGAGCTCGGCAAAGTCTCCTCACTTCTCGGAGCAGCAGGCCGGCCGAGGTCAGACCCGGATTCCCGGGCTGTGCGGCCCCGGGCGACTTACAGTTAACGTCCCCGGGATCAGTTTCTCGTCTGCTATCTGGGAGCTCAGAAGCCCCCCACGGAGGGTCGTGAGGAGGATTAACGAGCCCGAGCTGCGCGCCCGCCCGCCCCGCGCCCGCCGGGCTCCTCACCGTCCGCGCGCCGCGCTCCCGCCGGGGCTGCTCGGGGCGGCGCGGAGTCCCGGCCGCAGAGCCAGCTCGGCGCCGTCCGCTCCCAGCGGGAAGGCCCGGCCGGGGAAGGCCGGCGGCGGCTGCAGGAAGTCCGGGCCGCCGCTCAGCGGGAGGCCGCTGAAGGGCCGGCCGAGCGCGGCCATGGCCGGGGAGACGAGGAGGCTGCGCCCGCGGCCCCGGCCGCCCGCGTCCCCAGGCCCGGCGGCTGCGGCCACAGCGACTGCTGAGAGGTGCCCGCCTCTGAGCCCGCTCTCGACCCCACGTCACGCCTTCTAGAACCCTCCACCCCGGGCCGCCCAGGGGCACGCCGGGATTTGTTGTGTGTAGGGAGCTGCTACCGCGAGGGATGCCGGGAGTTGCAGTTCTAGCGGACTACAACTAACATGGCTGCCTCAGCTTAGTGGGCTGGGGCCGGAGGATGCCTCTGGAGCCTTGAATGTGAAGTAAGTTCCAATCCGCACACGTCTGTACCTCAGTTTTCTCAACAGTAAAACCTGGTAATAATAATACCTATCTTCTTATGATTGATGGAAGAAGTAAATGAATTAAAACATGTGGATTCTGAGGCACCTGGCTGGCTCAGTAGAGCATGCAACTCGATCTAGGCAGGGGAGCTGGTGAGTTCAAGCTCCACGGTGGGCATAGATCCTACTTTAGAAAACAACAAAACTAGATCTCTTAGAACAGTGCTTGGCACATAACACGATCATTAAACATCAGCCATTAATTCTTAACATGTTTTAATATAAATGAAGTTGGAGTTGCCTCAGGGGGAACAAGTTGGAGGCTCTGTAAAAACCTGACTGCTGTGAGCGGTACTGGCAAGTCTTCCAGCCTCTGTCTAGCTCCAGAGACTGTCTTGCCAGAGGGGCTAGCACAGTTGGTCCACCCCAAATGATGTGGGAAACAAAGGCAAAAGAAAAATTAAATTCCCTTACTAATTACAGTCCATTGACAAGTCCTTGAAACAGGTAGAGTGACATTCCTCTAGGAACTCAGAGCTGCCTCAATGTTAATACTTTCCTAGGGGGAAAAGGCAATCTTAGCTGGACATTAGCCTGACCTCCAGGATCCTGAAAGGCTACTTTAACATATTGAAATTCCTTTGGAAACTTCCTTTATCTTTACCCCCCAAGATACATGTTAGCAATCATCCTGCAAGCATGACCCACCGATATACATCTAAAGGATCTCATGACTAAGGTTTTATTAGAAAGTGATAAGTGACCTTTTCCTAACAATAGCTAGCCCCCTCAAGGTCCTGGAAAACTTGCTTCCAAAATTCCTTAGAGACTTTTGCTATCCCTAACCCCCTTTCAATTTGAAAGTATATAATCGGCCACTCCTCATGACCCCAGTACAGCTCTTTCTGCCCACATTGGCTCCGAACCCCAACACTTTCCTGTATCACCATTTTTCCCATCCCAGAGAATGACACTATCATCCAGTCTAGTTGCTTATACCAAAGTCAATGCCCTTTAGCCAAAACCCACCAAAAACACACCTATAATTGAACAAAGATTTACTGAGTGCTTATACTGAGGAGGTGTCTCAGTAAGGAGGTATTAGAAAAAGCTTCTTATAGGACTTGGGACTGTCTTAGGTGATTTTGGGGAAGGTTCAAGAAAGCAGGGCTTTGTTCTGGAATTAATACTGTCAGGAAGGAGGGATAATTCTATGACTGGGTAACTTAGTTGATCTTTTCTAGAAGGTAGGAAGAATAAAGGGAAGCTAAACCTATAATTGGTAAGGAAGCAAAGCCCTTCATATTAGCCAGGGGGATGTTTGGACAATTTTGTGGTTTGCACCATGTTCACTTTTTATCTGTGTTCAGACATGATTATGAAGTGATCTTGTTTTTATCTTGATCCATCGAAGTCCTTGTCTCAGTCCTTCCTTGTCTGATGTTGATATTCTGTGAAATTGTTTAACAGGAAGACACCAAAGCCTATCTGATAGCTAATACCAGGCTAGTCGTCAGAAGATGCTTTTCTCTTTCTAACCAAAAACCTAAGCATCATTATTGATGCCTCTTTTTCATTCACCTCCATACTTAGTCAGCAAATCCTATGGGCTTTACTTGTGAAATGCTTCTATAGTCTCTTCATCTTTCTCCCTTTTTCACTGCCCTCATTATGGTCTAAGAAAAAAATGAATGAACCTCTTCTGCCTAATGTAATATAATGGATCAGATTTAAGTTTTCTTAGTGGCATTTACAATCCAGTTTTGCCTCCATAAGGTAACACCCTACTTACTTCAATATAAAAGATAGTCTCCTGGGTCATTTCTACAAATGGCCACCTCATTATTCCCCTGAAAAAAAAAAAAATCCTTCCAGATGATGTTATATACACATATAAATTTAAATATGTATATGAAAAGGGAGTGTCAGGAATAATTTTCCTCTTTTCTTCAAGTCCCTCCAGCTGGACTGAGAATCAAATTGACGTGAGACCGATTTACAAGAGAAAATCAAATTTAATTTTGTGCATACAGGAAATCCACATAGACAAAAGAAATTCCAAACATGATCAACAAGAGGCTTACATGAGCCAAGGAGAGGGGTTGGGATCAAGAATACAAAGAGGAAGACCATTAGCAGGAAAGTGAGAGATGTTTTTGGAAAACAAAGGTTGCCTTTTTACTAAGTTTCTTAGGTAAAGAGGAATCTGTTAATGGCTCTGTTCCTGGTAAAGCAGGCAGTTGAGGGTGTGGTAAAGAACTTTTCTTGAATCTGCTGGGTTTTAATTGCTTTTAACTCAAAATAATGTTCATGCAAAAGTGGCCTGTTTTGTGGCAGCCTGCCATCGGCCCTTACAGTTATCAGACTCTACATCATTCTGAAACCCCTTTCCACCTAATTGTATTTCTTGAATGCCTATCCAAATTCATTCTGTAGTTCACAATTCTGTACTAGTTGTATATCCCTTATCAGGCAATGTACTAGATTTATTTATTTATTAAAAAATTTTATTTATTTTGGGAGGGGAGAGAGCAAGCTTGAACAGGGGGGAGGGGCAGATGGAGAGGGAGAAGCAGACTCCCCCCTGAGCAGGGAACCTGATGTGGGGCTCCATCTCAGGACCCTGGGATCATGACCTGAGCCAAAGGCGCTAAACTGACGGAGCCACCCAGGTGCCCTAGAATTAATAATCTATTAAGTACTGCCTATTTGCAGGTGCTCTTTACCCAAATTAAGTCAAGTATTCCTCACGTGAATTGGATGCTTTTCTTACCCCCCATTTTACTCATAAGAAGATTGAGGCAAGTTTCATCCCCAACTCCCTTATTTATAAGTGAAGGGGTTCAGTCGCAGGTCTGAGACCCTAGATCTTGTCCTAAACTGCTAGGCTTTGCTCCATCCCATTGAATTTCCTGGCAGAAAGTGCTTTGGAGGAATAAGGGAAAGCCTCAGTAGAGTGTGTCTGAGAGACACTGAGTCCTTTTGGCTTCGGACCCTGGCAGCAAAGCAAAAGACTGAGGATTATTATGCATTGTCTCCTACAGAAACCTGAGAAGAGCAGGTACAGAATTTGATGGTGGCCACCCAGAGCATCTCTTCTTTTCAGTCAACAGTCTAGGCTTGCCTCTAGGTGACTTCCAGTTAACCTCTCAGGCAACTGCTGGGTCAGACATAGACTTTTTTTTTTAAAAGATTTTATTTATTTGACAGAGAGAGAGAGAGCACAAGTAGGGGGAGAGACAGGCAGAGGGAGAGGGAGAAGCAGGCTCCCCACTGAGCAGGGAGCCCGATGTGGGGCTCAATCCTAGAGCCCTGGGATCATGACCTGAGCCGAAGGTAGATGCTTAACAGAGCCACCCAGGTGCCCCCAGACATAAAGACCTTTATTTTTTTTTTAAAGATTTTATTTATTTATTTGAGAGAGAGAGAGAATGAGAGATAGAAAGCACGAGAGGGAAGAGGGTCAGAGGGAGAAGCAGACTCCCTGCTGAGCAGGAAGCCCGATGTGGGACTCGATCCCGGGACTCCAGGATCATGACCTGAGCCGAAGGCAGTCGCTTAACCAACTGAGCCACCCAGGCGCCCCATAAAGACCTTTAGACAATACCCTCCTGACTCAGTTCAACTGGTGGCTAATCTTATCTGTTATCTTTTTAAAAACAACAATATTTTTTGGTTATAAAACACAGTCTAGTAGAAAATGATTGCAGGTGGTGATAAAAGTACACAGAAGCAAAAAAAAAAAAAGCCTTCATACCATCCCACAGGAAGCTCCATTATATGAATGTCCTTCTTGATGTAGTTTTGGAATGTTGGTGATGTTCGAAGCCAATGGCCAAGAAAGAATTCTTGAGATGTCTTCAGTGCAAAAAAGGTGATCTTAAGGGCGCCTGGGTGGCTCAGTTGATTAAGCCGCTGCCTTCGGCTAAGGTCATGATCCCAGGGTCCTAGGATCGAGTCCCGCATTGGGCTCCCTGCTCAGCGAGGAGCCTGCTTTTCTCTCTGCCTCTGCCTGCCACTACCCCCTGCTTGTGCTCTTTCTCTCTGTCAAATAAAGAAATAAAATCTTAAAAAAAAAAAAAAAAAGGTGATCTTAAGCACACAGACGAGACCCATGGGAAGAAAGAGCCGCAGCACTGGGGTTGTGAGGAATGGCTGGTTATATACTTGGGCATTGGGGCGGGTCTGGGGGGAGGTAAGGATTTAAGGAGGTGTCCAAAAGGACTTTCCTATGCTAAAGAAGACCCTTGGGACGCTGGAGGCCTGGCTGTTGTCAGGCTAAGGTTGTTTTTCTCTGGAGCAAAGCATTAACATTAAGATAGTTGGGAGTTTCCTGGAAGAAATCCCACCCATTTTTTTTTTTTATATATAAATGCAACATACAAACTTTATTTAACAAGAGTAACAGGTAAAGTCAAACAGGCACTTATATTAAGAGAAAAACCGACTAGAAGAAATTTTATCTTAAATACCTTATAGTAACCTACTTGCAGTTGCATTTAACTGAGCTCTGTTGCTGTGAAGAATACAGCTCATGCACAGGTATGGATCAACAATTTGTACATTTTTCAAGTATTCAATGAATACTACCTTATATACACATGTACATTAAATTTGAAAAAGATTTAATTGACGATCCCCAGATAGAGGGGCAGGGGGGTAGTTGCAAGGTGTCAGCTTGTGCTTTGTGCTCAGCTTGCCTTCCGCTCCCTCATCACTTCTAGTCTTTTTTCTTATTTGTGTGTGTATGTGTGGGCACACGAGAGCTGTCTTGTGCAATTATAGACCCCAACAGTTATTTCTCATTGCACTTTCTTGAGGCATTGACAATTTACAACATTCCAATTGCCAGTCT